CTCAGTTGAGGTCCTTTGATTGTCCATTCCAAAACCACCTCATTCTCCTCTCATTTTCACATTAAGCGCCAAAGGAATCATGGGCGACGTGTTCATGTAATCCCTTTGTCTATCGGAATAACATCAAACAAGGGGGAATGGACAAAACATGGTGCAAATGTTTAATTGTCTGTCACTGGAAGAAGACTGCATCATCTGTTTAATCCAGCTGATTACTTTTGAGCCTGTAATAAATAAGAACATTTATTATGTATAGGACAGCCTGTCGTGAAATGTGCTTGCAGCTTTGTCCCATCTAGGAAAATGTGCTCTCTCATTCCTTAGGGTGGCGATGTTCTTTGCTAATACTATTGGCTTAATTTGTTATGGGGGGACGACGACTGCAGAATAAACTACTGCAGAACAAGATTATTCTGACTTACTCTACCATGAGGGTTTCTTGTTGTGGTTTTTTAAAATATGCATATATTTTGGGGGGTAGTATGGTGGCTAACTCTTTCTCTAGCAGCCTGTGGCTGCTGTGCTTCCTTCTGGTTTTTGTCCATTCATTTTCTTCTGTTCACCATCTGCACGCTGAATTTTTTTCTTGAAATAAAGTTAAAAATCCCAGCAAGAAAAAGGACAAACACTGTATAACAATACAGCAAGTTCACCAATTAAGAGAAAAAGGGGGAAAGCAAACTCACTGCTGATAGGCTTTGAATATGCAAGTTTTGTAGCTGAATCACAGGTAGAAAAGCACAATGTGCATCTATGTGTTTGTTTGCAATGGTATCAAAAGGGCTTCCACACAGGAGATAAACAGAAAATGTGCGCTATAACTACTTATTACAAAACAAACAAACAAACAGGAAATTCTGTTTTCAGGTTTTTAAATAGAGGTTGGGTGCCCTTCTGTCAAGGATTATTTAGCTGTGATTCCTAGATGGCGCTTGAGGTCCCTTGCAGCTCTAAAATTCTATGATTCTTTGCTTGCTGGATTTGCTAAATGGGTTTGTACCTAATCATGGAGGGCTTCCATACTGTCACTACTTTCGGGTGGGATTCACCTGCCGGCAAATTCAGGTTGTGCAATTGAAGTTGATTTGGAACTCTTGTACAATAAACCCGCTTCCCTAAAATATCATGCTGTTGGTGATAAGGAATGTGACAACAGAAACTATGGGTTGACAGCTGTTTGATGCAACTAACCTTTCTGCAAACAAATCAGAGTGAATTCTCAATAAATAGCCAATGCCGTCTTAAACTCCCTGCAATTTGTGCAAAAAGAAAAGAGAAGAAATCAGGATGAATAGGTCATCTGAAAGTTACCATATTCTCCCTAATTTTTTATCAACCAACTACTGCTACTTCAGAGTAACTCCCAGTCCCATGCCACACATGACTTTGCTGCTGCACACAATTGATTAGGTAGGTCTTTTTACAGGAATCCAGGGTCAATAGGTATAATATGACAAGGAAGCATAGCATTTATAGTTAGCTAAAAATAATAATAAGAAGAAGAAGAAGAAGGAGGAGGAGGAGGAGGAGGAGGAGGAGGAGGAGGAGGAGGTGGTAAAGGACTCCTGACAGTTAAGCTCATTCGCAGATGGCTCTGGGGTTGCGGCGCTCATCTCACTTTCAGGCCGAGGGAGCTGGCGTTTGTCCGCTCCACAGACAGTTTTTCCAGGTCATGTGGCCAGCATGACTAAGCTGCTTCTGGCACAATGGAACACCGAAACCAGAGCAGCACACAGAAACACCGTTTACCTTTGCGCCGGAGCAGGACCTATGTATCTACTTACACTTTTTGGCATGCTTTCGAGCTGCTAGGTTGACAGGAGTTGGGACCAAGCAACGGGAGTTCACCCCATCGCAGGGATTCGAACCGCCAACCTTCTGATCGCAAGCCCAAGAGGCTCAGTGGTTTAGACCACAGCGCCACCCGCATCCCTATTATAGTTCGCTACAGACAGTCTAATGCAGGGTAATTCTTGGCCATAATTGGCAACCATGTTCCAGGACACCCACATTGTTGGACATTCCCACCCAAAGTGAAAGCATAAACCAGTCAGTCCAACTTTCTGTTGGCAATGTTAGGTGAAGGTTTTCTATGCCATCAACTGGTAATAATCTATCTTCTGCTGTTGCACTCAGGTCTTCAGACTTCCCATAAGAATCTGGTTGAGAAATGTGAAAATCTTATAATCTTATGAAAGCTTTGCTTTAGGATTCCTCTGTATTTGTGTTAACCGATAAGGATGCAAAAAGATTGGGATAGAGCATTATTTGTCTCCCTTAAAAAATCTCACCTAATTTATTGTCCCATGTTACAGGAGGGGATGTCATCCAAACTATGGCATTTGGAGACTGTGATACCCACCTGCATTTGGAGACTGTGATTACAGACTGTAGCTGAGGAAACAGTAGCATCTACGAAAGATTCCCAATAAATTGGTGGGTGTTTGGCCCCCTCCTTGGTGGGAAACTGGTGCAGGTGTTGCTGATAGTGCCAAGAGATCAGTTTCACTTCTTTTAGAAGTAGCTGCACGCAAGAGCGGTCCCCCTTTAGCCAGTCAGTGAAACAAGCAATATGCTTTTCCTGCTCTCTGAGTGTGAAAGCCTTGAGGATTGTGGCGTGCCTCTCATTTTGGACGATGTGACACTGGATGATGCAGCTATCTGAGTGTGAAAGCCTTGAGGATTCTATTGTTCCTCTCATTCTGGGTGAGGAGGCGTTGATATTGATAGAGAAAGATCAGCGGTCGTGGTTTCTTTCTTTATTTTTTTACCAGCATTGCCAAGCAAGTGCATTGTCTCTAATCACTAAGTGCTCAAGGTGATTTTAGGCTTGCCCCTGCAACCGGTGGCATAGCATAGGTTGCCAACATCCGGGGCCATGCAGAGAGGTTGGGAGGAAAACAGATGGAGGAAACAGGCACATTCAACTGCCTTACGGTGTCCATGTCACCCAGGAGATTGCAGCTGCAGAGATAACAAAAGTTATTCTATGACCCTCAACACTTGCCCACTGCTGCTTGTTCTGGGTGCACTCATTTAGTGCTCTGAGGAAGAGTATACCCATCCAACAAGCAGTGCTATTTTTCTAGAAAAATAGGTGCTGGACCTCACCATTAATGCCTCTCCCATTCTCTCTCTGAGAGCCAGTGTGGTGCAGTGGTTAAGAGCAGTAGACTTGTAATCTGGTGAACCGGGTTCACTTCCCCGCTCCTCCACATGCAGCTGCTGGGTGAGCTTGGGCTAGTCACACTTCTCTGAAGTCTCTCAGCTCCACTCACCTCATAGAGTGTTTGTTGTGGGGGACGAAGGGAAAGGAGAATGTCAGCCGCTTTGAGACTCCTTTGGGTAGTGATAAAGCGGGATAACAAATCCAAACTCTTCTTCTTCTTCTTAGAATGGCACCTGAGAGGTGCCAGAAGTGAGTTCCGGTGAGTTCCAGCTGGAAAAAAGCGCTGCCTACAAGAGATCTGAGTTGAGCAGCACCGTCATGGCATAATTTCAGATGCAAGATCTCCCTTTGTACTTATTTCCCATTTCTCTAGAAGTCTCCCTCCCTCCCTCCCTCCCTCCCTCCCTTTTTTGGAAAACTGGAGAAATTGCTATTTTGTCATTCCCTCAGGCCCTTCACTCCAAGCGTTTCCTTGAGAGACTCCAATCCAATTAATTGCTAAAATAATGAAGAAAACTGTAGCAAAATAGGGAGAGTAACTCTTTTGATCTTACATGCGCACAATGTTGTATTGTTTTCCTTTGGTTATTTTCCCCTCCCTTCCCCTGATAGCTCATTGCTATCAGATTTCACATTGGATAGGTTTATATTTTATAAGAAGATGGACGCTATTCAGGTGTTCTTCTGAACAAATAGGTTTTGCTTGTGGCTGATGTTATGTTTGGTGTGAAGTCAGAAAAGATCTGGTCAAGTAGCTTGCATATGTAAGTTCTGTCCATGACTGTTCAGAGAACTTCTGAATAGGCAGGGTCCCAATTGCATGGAAAGAGGGTGGCGCTGTGGGTTAATCCACAGAGCCTAGGACTTGCCGATCAGAAGGCTGGCAGTTTGAATCCCCGCAACGGGGTGAGCTCCCATTGCTCGGTCCCTGCTCCTGCCAACCTAGCAGTTCGAAAGCACGTCAAAGTGCAAGTAGATAAATAGGTACCGCTCTGGTGGGAAGGTAAACAGCATTTCCATGCGCTGCTCTGGTTCACCAGAAGCGGCTTAGTCATGCTGGCCACATGACCCGGAAGCTGTACGCCGCCTCCCTCGGCCAATAAAGCGAGATGAGTGCCACAACCCCAGAGTCGGCCACAACTGGACCTAATGGTCAGGGGTCCCTTTACCTAGGGTTTTGTAGACATTATGCCAAATGCACATAGGGAAACGTCTATCAGGCCATCTTCTCACCTCTAGGTGCATTTAATGCCTGTGTTACAGTATACTGTATACAGTATACAGGGACGCGGGTGGCGCTGTGGGTAAAACCTCAGTGCCTAGGACTTGCCGATTGTATGGTTGGCGGTTCGAATCCCCGCGGCAGGGTGAGCTCCCGTCGTTCGGTCCCAGCTCCTGCCCACCTATTAGTTTGAAAGCACCCCTAAGTGCAAGTAGATAAATAGGTACCGCTTTATAGCAGGAAGGTAAACGGCGTTTCCGTGTGCTGCACTGGTGCTGGCTCGCCGGAGCAGCTTCGTCACGCTGGCCACGTGACCCGGAAGTGTCTGCGGACAGCACTGGCTCCCGGCCTCTTAAGCGAGATGAGCACGCAACTCCAGAGTCGGTCACGACTGGCCCGTACGGGCAGGGGTACCTTTACCTTTACAGTATACTTGGGGGGGACGCAGCCCCAAGATTCACTTTGAATCTGTATCCATGCATTATTATTATTTAATCCATTCTGTTTCCGAGCCACTCTTATTTTCTGTCTATGTTTTGGGTTCAGTTTCACTATCATAAGGAATACAAGGCCACATTCACGCCATACATTAAAAGCACTCATATATCAGCCTAGATAGCTCGGTTGGTTAGAGCATGGTGCTGATAACGCCAAGGTTGAAGGTTCAATCACGGTATGGGACAGCTGCATATTCCTGCATTGCAAGGGGTTGGACTAGAATCAGGGGTCAGCAAACTTTTTCAGCAGGGGGCCGGTCCACTGTCCCTCAGACCTTGTGGGGGGCTGGATTATATTTTTTGGGGAAAAAGAATGAATTCCTATGCTCCACAAATAACCCAGAGATGCATTTTAAATAAAAGGACACATTCTACTCATGTAAAAACACGCTGATTCCCGGACCGTCCGCGGGCTGGATTTAGAAGGTGATTGGGCCGGATTCGACCCCCGGGCCTTGGTTTGCCTATACCTGGACTAGATGATCCTCAGACCCTAACTCTACAGTGGTACCTCCGGTTAAGTACTTAATTCGTTCCAGAGGTCCGTTCTTAACCTGAAACTGTTCTTAACCTGAAGCACCACTTTAGCTAATGGGGCCTTCTGCTGCTGCCGCACCGCTGGAGCACGATTTCTGTTCTCATCCTGAAACAAAGTTCTTAACCCGAGGTACTATTTCTGGGTTAGCGGAGTCTGTAACCTGAAGCGTATGTAACCCAAGGTACCACTGTACAATTCTATGATCTCTATTACCACTTTAACAAATATGGCTTCCCTCCAAAGTATATTGGGAACTGTAGTTTGCTAGGAATACTTAAACAGCATGCAGCATCTAGTGGCAAAAATAACAAGGGGACTTCACAGTTTCACCTTAGTCCTAAAAAACCCCCACCGATGACGTTGCTCACAGGCCTTCACCTGCAACAGCTTCTTACAAGGGCAAGGACATTTGATGGCAGTTTTAAAACATTTGGCATGTGGGTTAATGAATACGTACAGGACATTATTGGCCCTATCAGGCACCTGATTCAGGCCTATTTGTGGGGATCTGCGTGGACCTGTTGTTCCTAGTCAAGTCTGAGTCTGAATGAAAAGGGAACCATTCATCCGAGCCTCATCCTCTGTAACAAGGGAACCATTATGAAAACTCCAGGGATAAGCTTCTATGGATGCTGTGACCATTGTCGCCAGGCTAGCGTTCCAGATAGCAGCATCCCCTGAGGAACTGCAGGGTGACATGCTGAGAAACCAGCGTGACAGAAATTAGCGTTTAGGGGACAATTTTGCTTCCTTTGGAAAAATGTCACATTCAGAAGACTAAAAATGTCAAGATTTTGGTGCTGGTATCTATAAAGTAATAATCCAATGTTTGAACTGGAGGAATCTTTATTTGTGGCTTAAGGAGATAGCCTAAAATGACTTTTCTTTAATGATGGATTCCTACCCCATGCTTTTAATATGGGTAGTACGGGTCTTTGAGGGCATCCTATATATTTTTTAAAATGTAGACTCCTGATGCCCTTCACAATCATCTCCCAACAACAGCTGACACAGTAAACTAGACCTTAGAAGGGCATTGAAAACAAATGAGTCACTAAAGGAAAGATTTGATTAAGGTCACGCAATGTCAATGGCAGGTGTGGGACTACCAGACTTACTAAAGTATATTTCTACTCCTATTATTTTCCCTTGTTGTGACACAGTTAAGTAGGCCTTATGGAGATGTTAGGGCAATTGCGCACCTGGCCAGTTTGGAACGGGTGTTTCCTTTCTAGCCAACGGGAGAAACTTTATTGCCTTCCCTTGGTAGTGAACAAACGTGAATGCGTGAAAAATATTACAAACACTTTGGGTTTAGTAGCATGTTAGCCTCTGGTTTCTTTCCTGTGGCTTTTCAGGTTCTATACTAGAGTGAGGCCAGACCTCAACCTCCTCCTCTCATGAATGTCAACCTTTACATTTGTATGAGGCTTCCTACCTGCCAATCATCTGATGTAATTATTGTTGAGAATTCCGTTCCACCTTAAGGAACAGATGTTTGGAATTGTTGCATGTCACATGTCTGTTTACATTCCAGCACAGCATGCTGGGAACTTCCATTTGTGTATAGCTTTTGCTTTTGCTGTGGGACGCGGGTGGCGCTGTGGGTTAAACCACAGAGCCTAGGACTTGCCGATCAGAAGGTTGGCGGTTCGAATCCCAGCAATGGGATGAGCTCCCGTTGCTCGGTCCCAGCTCCTGCCAACCTAGCAGTTTGAAAGCACATCAAAGTGCAAGTAGAGAAATAGGTACCGCTCCGGTGGGAAGGTAAACGGCGTTTCTGTGCACTGCTCTGGTTCGCCAGAAGCGGCTTAGTCATGCTGGCCACATGACCCGGAAGCTGTACGCCGGCTCCCTCGGCCAATAAAGCGAGATGAGCGCCCCAACCCCAGAGTCGGTCACGACTGGACCTAATAGTCAGGGGTCCCTTTACCTTTACCTTTGCTTTTGCTGTTCTCTCTGAGACCACATGAGAGAGAGACGACATGTTTCTTTGTTCTGATTTTTGTTTAATAAATCTGTAGCTATAGTATGACTTACGCCTCACGCCTGCTTCTGTGTGCACAGTACACTCTGCTAATTGCGTGCCCTGGCTTTTGAAGTTTGGGTTGCTGATTTACGTCGGAGCACGGGCTGATGGAAGGAGACGTCCGAGTTGGGCTTGCCAGCTGACCTCCCGGCCCCTCGGCATGTTGACAATTATCACATCAGGTTACCAGGCTTTGGCTTTTGAAAGTAGTTTAAATACAAACAAACCTCAAAGTGATGGTGCTCACAACTTTTACCTGCATCATGCCTGACTTCCCATGTGATATCGGGGTCGGGCAGGGTGGACGTGGTTTGAGGGTGTGTGTGAGAAGGGCTTTGTAATTCAACCGTCAGGTTAGACTTGCCCCAGCCTTGTTCTGCACTATGGGGTCCAGAAATCAAGAACCATGTATAGGTTTGATATATTTCATTTATGGACGTGGCTCAGTTTGGACAGTGCTCAGTTATACTTTCACGGGTCCCTTGATTGACTTAGCTTTATGATTAATGTACTGGAATATTTTACAGGGGTTTATAGGACTGTTACTGTCAAGATAAACTCATAAAATTTACAGCTCCGAGCGAAAGTCATAATTTTTAAGTTGTAATTTTTATTTAGTAGCATTACCGACAGCACACATTATTGACAAAAAAAACACACAAAAAAACCCCTTCTTGAAATGTACTTAGTCATTCCCTTTGGAAACAATATAGGAATCATATTAAGTTTTGAGGAATGCAGGGATTTCCAGCTGTTTTGGTTTTCTTAAAGAAAAAGAACATGGAGGAGTGAAATAATATCCATATTTTTGAGGACCCTGCATAATCTGGTTCCTCTTTGGAATAATCAAGCTTTGGAACACTTTTTTTGTCTTTAGAAACATGTGCACTTTGGCTTGTCTTCATCTGCTTTTCATGCACAACACCCCAGAGTCAGTTCTCTTGCATCCCCAGGTAGGACTGAGAGAGAACCGAGTCTGAAATCCTGGCAAGGCAGTCAGTGCGGACAAAACTGAGGTAAATGGGCCAACAGATCTTACTTGGTATAAAGCAGCCTTCCTAACTAAGTCCTACTCAGAGTAGGCCCCACTGAAATGAATAAACCTCAGTTATTGAATATCTGAAACACTTTCTATGAAAAAGAAAATTAACTTGTAATATCTGGATTTGAAGATTGAAATAATATTGGCTTTTAGAAAATAGTTGGTTGTCAATTTGAGTGAATACTTTGAACAAGTTACTATATTTAGCTGACAGACAGGGAATCAGAAGTTTTTTTATCCTCCCCCTCTTTCAAATTTTCTTTTTCTTTCTTCTGTTTCTTTTTTCCATCTCCCTTCTCTTTGCTCCCGTTTCTTTTTAGATTAGATTTTTAAAATATTTATTTTATTCTTGTATATTATAAAAAGATACTTCGTATCGGGTATAAACGTTTGCATGTCTGTTGATGTGTATCCATAAAATCACAGGTTTATTATTGGTATTTGTGCCTCAAAAGGTTTACTGATAATTTCCAGCTTAGTTTTGATTGCTAACTTTAGTTAAAGCAGATTTTCAATGTTAGTTAGACCCGGAGTCCACAGATAGCTTTCTGGGTCATGTGGCCAGCATGACTAAACTGCTTCAGGCACAACAGGACACTGCGATGAGTGCCAAAGTGCACAGAAACACCAGTTACTTTCCTGCTGCAGTGGTACCTATTTATCTACTTACGTTGGTATGCTTTCGAACTGCTAGGTTGGCAGGAGCTGGGTGCCACACCCCATAATGAAGTCTGACTGGACTTAACCACCCAGGGGTCTTTTACCTTTACCTTATACCCTGAGTTGTTTGTTGTTTAGTCGTCTTAGTCGTGTTCGACTCTCCGTGACCCCATGAATCAGAGCATGCATTGGAAACTCTCACTTTCTTCTCAAAACTTCTCCTATTTTATGTCCATGGAGTTTTCATGGCAAAATACAGGAGTGGGTTGCCAGTTCCTTCTCCAGGTGGATCACATTTAGTCCAAACTCTCGGCTAATGACCGGTCCGTCTTGGGTGGCCCTGGATGGCATAGCAAAATGTTTTCTTGGAGTTATTCAATCCCCTTCGCCACGACAAGGCAGTGATCCATGAAGGGGATACCCTGAGTAGACCTGTTGAAATCAGGTGCTTCCTTTGTGGATGACTTACATTGGAGATCACACTTGGCTTGTAATTTACGCTTCAGAGATGTAAAAACTACCTTTGTTCTGTTCCTCCCCCTGCAGATACCTCAAATCAGCTATGCATCTACAGCACCAGAGTTAAGTGATAACACCAGGTATGACTTTTTCTCCCGGGTGGTCCCACCCGACTCTTATCAAGCCCAAGCCATGGTTGATATTGTGACAGCACTTGGATGGAACTATGTTTCGACACTGGCTTCAGAGGGGAACTATGGAGAGAGTGGCGTCGAAGCATTCACACAGATCTCGAGGGAAACTGGTAAGTGGACATCAGTTTTTTGTTTTGTTTTGTTTTTTAAAAAGCAACAACTGTGTTTAGAGCTGGCAAGTTGGTAAACTGTTGAGCTTGGTTCTGCCGGCTTAGACCTGCATGGAATAATTAGCCCTTGCAGATACCTTTTGAGGGAAGTTGC